CGCTACCCGGAATCGAACCCGGGACCTTTGAATGAGAGGCCAACACCTTAACCTCTAGGCCACGAGAGCCCCCATTTTACTTCTGAAATCAGGCAACTCCGACATCCTTCAATCACCAGTATCTTGACTTGTATTCGCAAGAAATGGATATTATTTTCACCAAAAGCAAGGCAAATTATCAGGCTTTAAGATGATGCCAATAACTCTCTATTATGCCCCCAAATTGACGAGCGCCTGATTCCGCCGCGTAGAGACACATTTCGCTATTTTCCCTCGCGTACGTAGCCTAAAACAGCCGTGTGCACTGCTCACTCACAGCCGGACGCTCCGTATCCCGGACTCTAGCATGAAGATCATCAGGAGAGAATGCGTCGCTGTTTCGGGCTATATGTGACGTCCGATTCGGCCGATACACGCACTCAGGTCATGCTCTATGTGACGTCCGATTCGGCCGATACACGCTCTGAGGCGCTTGACGTAGTCTAAACAGCCGTATGACTGCTCACAGCCGAACGCTCCGTATCCCGGACTCTAGCATGGAGAACATCAGGAGAGAATGCGTCGCTGTTTCGGGCTCTTCCTCTCTACAGCTTTTCTGACGCACCGAGCCCCCTTACCGATGTGAGGTCTCCATGTTAGTTTTGTAGAATACAAACAAGTGAGCACAATACATATTGTGATTCTAATCATTAGTGAAGAGAGTTACTCATGTTTGTTATAATTAATTATTGAAATGTTCTGGTCCACCTTTGTGTAAACATTACATTTTAAAAAATGCCTTTTCTCTCTACAAGGGGGCTCTCATGGCCCAGAGGTAAAGGTCCCGGGTTCGAATCCGGGTAGCGACCGAAAAATTTTCTTGTCTAAAATTGTCTCCTTTCACCTCCTTTCCTGCTCTCTAGCAGTAGTAGTATAAGGTTTTACGGCGCTCGCAACTGCTAAGGTCATATGAGCGCTGCTCTCTAGCAATATTCTGTCGTCTGCTCTCGTCTCCCCTTTCTGCCCCCACTCCCTCACCTCCTTTGCCCCCTCCTCTGGGCTCCTGACTCTTTCTGCAGCCTTTCTACTGCTACTCCGTGACTCCTTCTTACAGCTGTCTTTCTGCCACACATCTGATCTTCTGGTAGGAAAGATCTACACCTAACCTTCTCGGACAAGGGCGAAAAATCTCGGAGGGCCCGTGTGCAAGTTGCGCTCGTTAAAGATCCCTTGGTGGTCTAAAATCGATAAGAGTAGGCTTCGGCCGCCACCCGGGCCAAAATTCAAAATTTCCTACCAACTGAAAGTACATGTATTACGTGTGTCCCGCGTGCTCATATGACCTTATGCAGTTGTGAGCGCCGTAAAACACTTACCAAAACAAACAAACAATTCCTCTCTACTGCTCACATCCCTCCCACAACCCCCCTCCCTCTCCCCACCCCACCCTTTCACTCCCCCCTCCTCCCTCACGCCCCTCACCCAACCCACTCCCGACACTTCCACCCCTCCGCACTAGGGCTGGGCAATGAGTCGCTTTAGGAAAATTCGGATCATTATATGTTAGTGCACCTCTTTGGCAATTAAATGCGTTATGAACCGCTTCGGCAATTGGGTTAGATAGGACCACTTCGACAAACGGATTAGAACCATTTCAAAAAACGGGTGCACCCACTTCAGCACACGGGTTAGGAAACAGAGTTTAATGAAGAATCTGAATTCGGATAATAATGTTTCATTGAGAATTATCCGGTTATCCAGATAGATTGTCCGGATTTTGCCCACCACTACTAAACTAAACTCCGCTCATATGACCTTACGCAGTTGCGAGCGCCGTAAAACCCTCTACTATACTATAACTAAACTCCGCACGCCATTTTCCCCACAGATCTACTGGGCGGGCCCGCTGTGTGGCGCTGCGGTCGGCTCCCTCCTCTACCAGCTCGCCCTCTCCACCCAGCCGCTCACCCTCAGGTCCTGGCGATGCGGGGTCACGACCGGCCCGAGGAGCTACCGCGGGGTCAGAGGTCAGGACGGGCACGAGGAGAAGGAGAACCTGTCTTGTAGAAGTAGTACTCACGGGGGCGAGGAGGAGAGCAGGATAATATGACGGAACGCAGAATAGCAGAATTTTGTTTTATACTAATATAATATGGTCGCTTTAATTAAATAAAGGGCAAGCGGGCTAACCCAGATTTCAGAGAGGG